TCCTGCTGTGTATCAGTCACCTGTCATCGGAGGGGCTGACCAGAAGATGCATTTTTAGTGCTGTCAGGTTGTCTCTCGTCCCTGCTATCCCAGATGCCCAGCTTTGCGATTACACCTCCGGCCGACACCCCTCGCTGGCCTGGGATTGGTTCGCTCATGCCTAAGGCAGAGAAAGGAATTTTCCCACAGACATCTGTGATAGCAGCACGGGGGCTAGAAAGGCAGCGGGCACCACCTGTTCCACAGTCAGCCGTGTTTCATTTGACCTGGAGGTGGAGCACTTCGAGGGCAGAAATAGAAGAGGATTCGTTGTAACAAGGCCCATTTTCTTCTCCACGTTACCTTTGAAAGCATAAAGGGAAGGTAAAGTTTCTACATCATTATTTTTTAATTTTGAAATAGTCACTGACTCACAGGATTTCTTAAAAATAGTACATAGAATCCTCTGAACCCATCTCTCAACTTCCTCCAAGGGTGACACCTTACATAATGGTATATTATGACCAGGAAATGGACATTGGTACAGTACAGTAATCCAGACTACAAACCTTACTCAGTTTTCACCAGTTCTGCGTGCATTCGTGTGTGTGTGCGCGCATGCGTGTAGTTCTATGAAATTAAATTCCATGCATAGAGTCATGCAACCACCATCATAATCAGATACAGCCTGGTCACCACCACAAAGGAACCCCCCCTTGTACTACCCCTTCAAGGTCACATCCCCTCCCCTCCATCCCTGTCCCTGGCAATCACTAATCTGTTTTTGGTCTCTATAGTTTTGTCACTTCAAAAATGGTACAAATGGAAATATACAGTTTGTAAACTTTTGAGATTGGCTTGTTTTACTATGCCCAGTGCCCTTGACAGCCATCCAAGTTGGCATGTGTCAATAGTTCGTGCCTTTTTATTGTAAGTAGCATTCCATTGTATGGATTCTACATCATTATTTTTTAAGTATCAAAATTTGGCCTTTTGGATGTATCAATTCTAGAATTTAAGCAATGGATGGGTAGTTTCAATAGATGTCCAATCCAAGATTCCTTCGTGGGAATAATTTACTTTTCGCATTTCAAATAATACATTATTGCCATCATTAGAATGTTCTAATTTTGAGGGAACTTGACTTGCTCTATGCCAATCCTAAAATACACCAGGCCTGCTTTCTGCAACCTTCCTAGATAATGAGAGCTCTATGAGGGCAGGGGCTATACCTTTCTCATCGCTGGATCCCCAGCTGAGACCTGCATAGCTTCTTGCACTAGGCAAGGTCCTTAGTATACACCTGATGGACGAATGTCTCCGCTGGGTCCTCAGGCCCATACAAAGTCCCCAGGATTCAAACTGACTGTCACTTTGAAGGTGATGGCAGCACAATATGCCTTCCTTGAAGTGAGACAAGTCTGTTGAAGGGGAGCTGCCTTATTTGGACATCTGACTTACAGTTCTGTTAAGTGAGACAGAGCTCTACAGTTGACAAGGGAAGAGAATGCCAGTTTCTGACTTCCCTGCTTCTAGCCAGGTTACCCAGTCACCCCAACCTAGCGTCTACTAAACGGGAATCACTGTTGCCACTGGCTGGTGGGGGCGGGGGCGCATGGATTTGTGCAGAGGGGCTCCAAAGTATCTTGTGACCTTTCTCGGGATGCTGCATTCTGGCTGGGAGGCCACGTGTGCAGTCAAGAATGAAATGGGATGACCATGTCTGAAGGCTTTGCATTTTACTAAAGTTATTTTTCCTCCCTGAAGCCATTTCTTACGTCATCCACTTTGTTTTCAGTTCCTCTAGTGAGATCTTGTGGAAGCACACAGTCAGGAGTTGAAATTGGCCCCTGGAGCTGATTTTGCTTAATCCCACAGATATTTAGTCATCAGCACCAGCAATTATCCATATTCATCTCTGTCAATGGATAGCTCCCTAGGAAAGTCTATTTTCAGGACTACATGATTACACTGCTGAGAGAGAGAGGGGACAGGAGATCAAAGCCTTGCAGCTGAGTGTGGGATTGGCCCTACCCCAGGCTTGCCATGGGAAGTGTTGGGATGGGGAATGAGGACAAAGTGGAAAAAGCATTTGACCAATGACAGAGAGAAGCTGCCACACTAAACTCGGTGAAATGGAAATTGCCCAAAGCCTGGAAAAGGGAGCAGTGTCTCCACACAAACATGAGAGATGAGGACTCATGCGCCCGACTGTGGTCAGAGAAGGCAGGAAGAGCAGGCCGTGGCTGGCAGCAGCTGCCGCAGTACAGGGAATGAGCTGGAAGCTCCCTGCCCTGTGCTCTGGTTGTAGGGACAAGCAGCAGAGGATTTGTGTATGAGAAGGGCCCCTTCCACTCTGTGACTGTTCAGAGTCCAAAGCTGCCATTTCCAAAGCCTACACATCACTTTCTCCAGCTTTCCCTTATGCCAGCCTTAAATCCTTTCTACCAGAAGTTTAACCCGTTTCATTGTTTCTTCTTAGTAACCTCTCATTATTTTACAGCTCACGTATGAACAGCAGGAGGGCCCAGTGGCTGGCCGCAGGGACTCTGGAGGCAGGAGCACCTGGCTTCAAGTTGTGGCTCGGCCACTTGCTAGTGGTGCACTCTGTTAAGTTACTTGACTTCTCTGTTCCTCAATTTTCCTCAGCTGTAAAATGGAGATAATGGCATTTAGGACTGTTGAGAGGACGGACTGAATACGCTACACACATGTTGTACTAAGCGTCAGCTGCTATTGTTGACTGGCATCTAGTCACATGGGTGTGCCATAATTTAACCTTTGGGCATCTAGGTTTTGTTTTAGCTGATTTCTTCATGTTTTAGAAGACTCAGACACTTCCTTTGAGACACAGAAGTGGTAGCCTTGTTTTCTGCCAGATTTCTGGATTGGTAAATTCTTTTTTTAAAAAAAAAAGTTCAGTTCAGTAAGTGAGACAGTGAATACAGAAATGAAGCAGACTGACGTTTCTAGAGGAAACAATGAAACTTTTCTCCATTTGGGATTATTTGCTCTCCTTATTCCTTTGTTTGGGGAGTCTGTTTTTACATCAGAGCTTTTAAGGTTATTATAGGGATCTAGTAATGAAGGTGGAATAAAAATTCAGGTTTCCTTTGGGAAAGATGGACCAATTAGCTCAAAATGAGTAACATTACCTGAGCCCCTGTGAAGAAGCAGGAGCTGCCCCTTTACAAAGGGCTGCCTTTAATTCTTTTTGAAAAACACCTCGAGACCTTTCTCTGGTCCCTGAAGCCTCCAGTGGTGGGCCATCCTGGACAGAGGGGCTTCTCCAGCAGGGCTGGTTTCAGTGACACAGAGAGATGTGCAGCATCACTGTGGGCAGTGGACCGAGGATTGAGACCAACACAGGCCATCTTCTCAGTTTCCCTTATCTCCTTTCCAAAATCTCTGTGACTCTCTACCCTCGATCTTTCCATCTTCCTATTTCTAAGGAATGTTTTTCTCCCAGTATAGAGGAAAAAGTGCAAGCTCTGCATTTATAAAACACGAAGCCCTGCCATGGCTGTTATCTAGCTAAATGGACATGGGCCAGTTACTCAATCTCAGTGTGTTTCCTCATCTATAGGGTTTCCGCCCCACGTCACTGAGAGCAGGGGGTTGGGGGCATGCTTGGCCCACAGTAGGTGCTCCTCCAGTGGCAGCTTTTCTCCATCCAAGTCCTACATAGCTGCTCTTCAGCCTGTCTTCTTGGTCTAAAACACATGTTCTTGTCCTTAACTCTCTTCATTTTATTTCCAGCTTTAAGTTGAAAACCTGCTTCTTCATGGAAGTTACATTAACATCGATTAAAATATTAAAATAGAAAACTATTAATTATTAAAATTAAATTAGCATTTAGACCTTGATGTGTTGAAAATCTAATTCATCATTATTTTCCCATAGACGAGTTCCTTTTTCTGGATTTCCTTATTTTTTATTAAGAAAAACCACATTGTCAAGCAAGTTTGTTCTGTCTCACATCAGTGAAAAAGGAATTCCCAGCCCAGGGCATCCTCTCATGGGTTAGTATATGTGACTGGTTGTGAATATGAAGTCACCAAAGATGAATAAAGCAATAGAGAAAACCCCATCATTTCCATGGTTGTAAAACTGGAGGCTGTTTGGAATACTCTCAACCTATTCTTCATAAAGAAAAATTTGTAACAGCCAATTCATGGTTGGGGTATACAGAGGGTCTGTGTTACTAAGCAACATGGCAGAGATGGGAAAAAGCAGGGAATGCTGTGGTCTATTGAGTTAAAGGACTTCACAAAGGCTGACACCGGGAGACAGCCAAGTCAGTCAGGTAACCAGGATCACTAGGATTATCCAACGTTAAACAGTGGAGAAAATGCAGACATGAAACAAATTAAAACTAAGCTCTTGTAGCAAATAGGAGCAGAAATCACAAGTAATTTCCTGTAACATTATGGGATGGAGTTTGATACTTCCAGAATGATTTTATCCACAGAAGCAGCAGTGGTCAACTGATACATACATGTTTTCTTCTGAATTGTCATGTCTTCTGATAATTGGATGGTCACGGAAACTAATATTATAAATGAACAAAGAGTTAAGACACACTTAGAGAGACAAAGGAGGTGGCTAGGTAAAAAAAAGTTTTTTATAATCAAAGTATAAACAAATATAGGAAATGCATATTTGTCAGTAATCATTTTAAAGTAGGAAACATATACTTAAGAAAAACATAGTTGTCTGACAAAACTTAAAAAACTTTACAACACATAAGAGTACATGCATTGCCCAAAATAGCAGAAGATAATCACATTAAACTTGCAAGGCCTATAGCAACTCCACCAGAAAAAAATTACCTTATATATAGCAAGTCTGTTAAGTATGCAATTTATAAAAAATTACTATGACTGTTATTCACACTTCTGTAAAAAAGAATCTGCACTTTGCTGAATATCTTATCCCTCAGCATAATTAATTTGTATAAAAATTACAACCAATGAATTTCAAGCACCAATTCAATCATTTAAACTATATTTCTCCTATTATTTCTCCTATTATTGAGGAAACAAATTAGCTTAGATGAAGGCTAAGCTAAAATTAGCCGTATAATTATTACAGTTTAGTTTTAAAGGCATGTGGTTTTTTTTTCTTCCATTCACTTGAATGCCAAACATCAGAGAATGTTTAGGCCAGTAAAGGACTCCTTGAAGGAATCCATCATTTTTGAGTATCAATGGTTTAATATACATTAAAAGCTCTTTAACAAACCAATGCTCTCTTAGTTCTAGGATAAAACAGGTTTGCACACAAGAAATTAAGGGACTGTTCCTCATTATGACTTAGAAAAGGCAGCACCTATATAGTAGACTAACAAGCACATTTGCACATCTACTAGTAGTGTAAGAAAACAACATTAATATTTAAGAAGGCAACACCACTGCACTTGGCAATACTGAAGTTTTTCTTAATTAAAAAAAAAATTCCATTAAACATTTGGGATGGGAAGAGTATCTCAATAAGAGCGCATTTTTTTTCTGGTTTCTTTTTCTGCATCAGGGAAAAAAGGAGGACAGTCTGAGCCAGTAGATGAGTAACAGTGTTTGTGATGCCTCTGGTTGTTCCTGAAGAAAACATGTTCGGATAACAAGGGAGTTTATTTCAATCACCACAACTGCTATTTTTGTTTCCAGCATTCACATCATACCACTTACAAACACAGTAATTTCTGAGACATAATAAATGTTTCAGTCTTCTACTACTAAGTTTGGTTAATTTTCAATGCACTCCAAACTGAACCTTTAGGTTGGCTGCATTTGAGAAACTGGAGATAAGACTATCGATGAAAGCAGATCACATGGAAACCAAAATCTCAATTAACAGAGATTCTCTATCACTGCCCATCGTGTTATCTGAACTTGATCACAAAATCACATGCAGATGAAGAGAGTCACACGGAAGCCACGGTGTTAGGATAGGGCGGACGGGTCCTGCTGGTCCTCACTCATGTCACTGGGTGGCTCTTGACAAACAAGCTCACGGAGGCCTTCTCTACCCACTTCACTCTGCTCTTCGCTGTGGTCTTCACTTGGCTCCACAGTCTGTTCCAGGCTGTTCTCCAGAAGTGTGGGAGAATTGTTTATCCTACTTTCTTCTTCAGCTGTCTCATTTAAGGGCTGGGAAGGAGGTGGTGTGGGAGTATTAGATTGGATGACACTTTCAACAGAAGAGATGGGGGCTTTGGTTATAGCATCCGCTGTAATCTCATTCTGAGGCAAAGATAACTTTTCCACAAGTTTCCACTGGATGATGCTCATGTCTTTTCCACCAGTAGAAATCAGGTGACTGTCATTATGAGTAAAACTGACATTGGTGACATGGCTGCTGTGGGCACTGTACTTGTGACTGGGAGCCTATATGAAATAAATCAGACAGGAAAGTTAACCTCATTGATTACATGCCTGCTTCCAGCAATGGAGGTGACTGTAAGGAAGGTAACTCAGCTTGTGAAACAGGTCATTCAAATCAAAGCCACAAGTCATCAAATCTGAGGAATAAGGTGAGCAGTAATTTCCTCTGAATGCCTCTTTATATAGGAGAAACAAATCAGAATAATTGGATACCTATATAGTTTCATACTACAGGTTTAAAAAATAACTAAAATTCTTTAATAGACGTCAGTTGGTATATTTGTCAGAGCTTAGTAACTATTCCTTTGAGGTGGCTAGGTAGTAAATTTGAGAATTTACTAGACTGGCATGATTATAGGTGATTCAGGAAATAGTTCCTTTAGTTTTATAATGCTGATTGTATGCCTAACAAATAAAATATTTTAATATGTTTAGGAGAAATTTTAAATTGCCAAAAAACCAAAATAAACAACTGGACAATAAACAAAAGGGAATAAAACATCATCAGTTGCCACTTCTATATCTGTCTTCTCATTAGCTTTAATGAGGAAAGAGAAGATAAACAATGTCTACTAGGATGCTCACAGATGGCCCTGTTCTCCCTCTGTGCATCACAGTATCACGGAGAGTTTAATTAGTAATCCTATGATTACTTTCTTGCCATAGACACAAAATTAACCTCAAACAAGAGACCCTATAACACTAGTTTCTACTGAGTTTACCTTTGCTTTGGAGCAGGGATACTGAAACAGATGGACTTTACAAAAGTCATCAGCAACAGCTATCACTTTTCTATTGTGGGATCGCACCAGTGCGTTGATATCTGTCCCATCGGATCCTTCTGGCCAGACACCTATGATACGCAACCACAGGGGTGTAGAAAAATTAGACTAAAAAAATGTAACTATGATGCTACATATGTTTATTTTAGAATTTGATTAACTTTTGTCTGTGTTCAAACTCTTAGCTGCTAACATTTCCCTTACAAATTTCTTAGCAGCTTAAGACTGTTCTTTGTTCAAATGATGAAGTTTTATCCAAAATCTAACTAATAATGAAGATAAACCAAAATAGCCCCAAGATGGAAAACTCAGACTCAATAGTACTCAATAGTAACCAGCAGGTGGGGCTAATAATTTATTTTTAGTTTCGGCTTGACTCACCTCAGCAATAAGCTCTTCCTTTTTAAAGTTTCTAGTTAGGGGGAAAGTTATCAGTTCCTTGTACAGCAAGGTACAAAAACCAAGCCACAGCACTAAGTCTTCAACATGGACTCTAGGTTCTCTTTCAGGCAGGCACCTCCAAGAAAACCTCAGAGATTTTTGTGGAAATGTGTAGGCCACTCACTAGTCCAGCAAGCCATTCCACAGAATTTTCCTGGAAACATTACTTATGTCCAAAGATAAGACATATCAAATGCAATTATTCTGAATCATTATGAGGCACTTGTGACCATGCTTATCATAATTATCACAAAACTCTTATTAGATTAGATTAAAACTATGGAACATAGAAGGGTTGAGATGTAGGCCTCCTGTGGTTGAAAGCTATTCTAGAGAATATATATTTTTGGTAAATTTGATAAAAACAAGTTGAAACACTTTTTAATTGATATCTCTTGATAAGTAAATAAATACTGTCTCATTAAAATACCAGAGAAGTTACCAGCTACTAGCCACTGCTTCAGTTTCAGCCAGAATAATGAAACTGTTTATGGATGACTCAGGATTATTTTGTTTTCAATTTCTTTCTAGCTTATTGAGCTTCTCCATCTTGATAGCACTTGTGTTTAGAATAATTATCTAGAATGGATTATTTTTCTAATGCACACAGCATAAAGAAGTGTTCAGATCTATGATCAGGATGAAGGAAAGAACCCAATTTTCAGAAGGGAGAGATATATTGTTAGAGGGAAAATATTAATATTTTGGATGTTGTTTTAGGTATTGGTGCCACATCCATTTCCAGTATTTTAATTACTGAGTATAACATCTCTTTTTAATTCTTTGCAAACAAGGCTTCATTATTTTAACTTTTCCATTTATCTTCTAATCCCTTCAGAAGGAAGGATACCTGAAGATTGGGAAAGGCTTAGGAAACTGTTACACTGGACAGACTGTATGATTCCATTTATATGGACTGTGTGGCATAAACAAATCGATAGAGAAAGAAAGTAGATTAGTGGTTTCCGGGTGGGAGGGGTAGAGCAAGGGAGAGATGAGGAGTGACTTCCATTGGGCATAGGGATTCTTTCTGGGATGATAAAAATGTTCTAAAATTAGGCCATGATGATGGCTGAATAACTCCGTGAATATATGAAAATGATTGAATTGTATACTTTAAATAGGTGAATTGTATGGTATATGAATGATACTGCAATGGAGTTGTAATGATTTTACAAATTTAAAAATTTCCATTTTCACCTGGAGGAAAAAACAGGAAGGCAATCTGTACTACTATGTAAATTCCTTTCCATTTAATTCTTTCGTATTTATTGGAGACCAAAAGTGCTGAATTCCGCAGAGAACAAATCCTGTATTGGTTCAATTTCTCTGAAAAGCTGATATTAATAGTGATAATACTAAAGAACACACACATACTATTTTTCACTCATAAATTCAAGTAAATATTACATTTTTATATAATGTAAGAAGCACCCCACAAAGTGCTTCTTCACATCAGGTGTCATGTCCTTACCAAAGACTTGAAAGCCTAGTACACAGGTATATGTCGTCCAGTCAATGTCCTTGCAATCTGATCGATTCCTGATTAGTTTGCAGCCACTTGGAATGTCCCCTTTAAATTCAGAAACAGGAAGTAAAATCATAGTGCTTGTGTACAAATGTATTTGAAAGTGCATCTCGATTCAAACTAGCCATGTTTACTTGTATTTATAATGCATACACTGAAAAATATTAAGACATTTAAAAAGGAAAAGAAAGTGTTTACTTTAACAGGGTTTATAGAACTACAAATTGTTTCCCATGGAAGTTATTTTTTTTCTCCCTCTAAAAGCATAAATGCCTATTCCATTATACTCTTCCCTGCTTCCAGGAAGACTGTTAAATGAAAAACAATTCAGAGCAGCATCAATCTCACTGAGTAATTTCTTACTACTACATGTGCCTTCAGTTCTACACCACTAAATTAATTCATTACTTTCTTGGAGAAGTGAACTACATTTGAGATTCTCATTCCTTAGCTCAGAGTAACATATGCTCTGTCAGTGAGAGAGGCCAGCATGCACTCTTTGCATTTGCACAATTCAAATTCCTTGCAGCCTATTCATCAGCACCCGAGAGGCACACCTGAGCCACAGAGCCCATATGATCAATCATACTTACAGTACAGTATCTCATAATCTCCCGAGTTAGACATTATATACTTGTTGTCTGGGGACCAGTCAAGGTGTGTGATGTAGCTGGAATGTCCCTAGGGAATAACAGATCAACTGTTAGAAAGCATTTAGAGTTTTGAATGTTAAATAGTTTAATAGCCAGTGTTGTTTTCTGAGTACCTACTTGTTGAAATTCCTAAAGGATGGGGAGCAGTATCACAGCCTCTAGAACTAAACAAGGCCCATAGCTGGTCTTTATCTCTTTTTCACTCTATCTTGTTGGGAACCAAAGATGCAGTATGTGAAGATGACAGTGACACATGAAGAGTCCTGGCAGGACTCTGGAAGTAAAGGGATCTCACCATGAGGGAAATATTAAGTACCTGAAACTTGGGAGAATCCTGCTGGCTGCTCCATCTAGATACCAGAAACATGCATCTACTACCTGTGCAAGTAACTTCCAAGAAATTCTCTTATACTTGTTTTTAGAGGACACTGCAACAGATATCACAGCCTCAGGCCTAATTTCAAGTCACCGGTGTCCCAATTAGAGTGACTTCATTTTTGCGAATGAAGTATTGGTTACTAGTTGTCCACAAAGAACACTTTTCCTGGGATACTTCTTGAGTATCTGAGGTACAGTTGAGACTCGGCTGAGGAATATGGCACTGATATATAGTCATATAGAGGTCTCCTAAAGAATGTTCTGGGGGAAAAGTCACCTAACATTGTACTCCTTCAGAATAGATGGACACAATATAATCATCTGACACCTTAAAACATTCCTTAAAGAGGAACAAAGTGATTTTTTTCTGCTTAGGTTTTATTAACACTGTGGGAATTAACACAAAAAAATCAATAAATGCTTATTAATATTTTTGGCTTCACATGTAAACATTTGATGATTTCCAATAAACTATTTCAGATAAATTACAAAGATCTTATGGTTTACCAAAGTTGACAGACACTTGAATTCACTTTTATCTCCTATAAACTGTGGTGAAATGTTTAATTTCTATTGTACTTTTTGAATTACTAGTTCTCTGCTCATATGGTTGTATGTTTTAAGTTAATAAATTCTATGTACCTTAGGTATAGTTTTTGATGATTTACACAAGGTATTCTAATTATTCCAGTACGCTTCTGAAGTCTAATGATGTGTTCTCAAACCTTTCTGGAGCTATTATCTCCACCATAGTGCTACACAGCAAATAAACATAATTATATGTTTAAATGAATTTAAATTATGTGAATTTGAGAACTGTGAAACTTTCTGAATCACTACAGATTAGGTGGCATATTGGAAAACAGGTTGGGAATCACTTACTAAGCACACAAGAGACCCACCAACCTAATAAGAAATCAATTTTCAAAGCCAGAAAGACACATGTGGTTACTGGATATTTTCAGAGAATGGCAGGAGGATGGGGTTCACACAAGCCTTTTCACAGTGCACATGTGTCTGGAGAAGCCATGCTTCTAAAAAAAAAAAAAAATGTTGCTACACAATGAAGGATTTAACCAGATTATCTTGGTAAAGTATCATCCTCCAAGAAGTATTCATCCTAATGTATAAGTACTTAAAAAGTACTACATCTCTGTGAAAACCCTTTAATAGCTTTACATAGAAGAGCATCAAAAGAACTGTACGTATACATAATATTCACATAACTCAAATCTGTGTTGGATACAGGATGTATTCAAAGGTAAATCAATATAAAATATTCTCAAAAAGGACTCCTGAGTAAGAAAAGTCCCTAAATTTAGAAAAGATCTTGGAAAAGTTATCAACTCATACTGGAAAATGAAGTAATTATTTTTTCCCTGGTATAGATGCCAATAAATAAGCAAAGCAAAGATTAAATGCAACTACTGGGAGCTATAATGCTACCTCCCTGACTCTACTTCAGAATGTCCTCGCCCCTCCCCAACTCACAGGCCTATAGAAAGCATATATATAACCTGGGAAAAATAGCCTCAAACTTCATCTCATGGGCACAAACATATTGGGAGCAAAATCTAGTATATCCCCTTGAAAAGAAACAGAAAAGTATTCTAACCTGGTACTTTCATTACTGTCACTAAGTAGCTAAATGGTGTCACTACAATTATCATAAGTGAAAGAGCTAAGACTGCTACTCTGGAGAAAAAAATTCAGAAACATTTGAATTAAATCTTTGTCAAGTGTGTGGAGATCATCACCTAAAACGGTGGTTCGCAAATGACTTAAAATTACCTGGAGAGTTAAAAAAAAAAAAAAAAAAAAAAAAGAAACAACCCAAGGCCCAGATTTAGGGACTTAACTTTTTCCCAAGTAGGTATCCAGGTATCCCCGCACCATATACAGCCATGCTGTCCAATGGATCTCTCTGCAATGATGCAAATGTTCTGTATCTGTGTGGTCCAATGTAGTAGCAAGCAACTAGTCACCTGTGGTTGCTGAGTATGTGAAATTTGGCTAGTGCTCCCAGGGAACTGAACTGCGTTTAATGTTATGAACAGAAAGTTGTGGGTAGTAATGGCCATACTGGGTAGGTAACTCAGAGAACAGTTCTTTCTCTACTGATTTGAAATACCCCTTTTCTTTATTATTTAGTAAATTTCCAGAAAAACATAAATCTGTTTCTGGACTCTTTTCTATTAGTCTATCTGCTCATTCCCAACCAGCTGTGATAGTTCTACGGTATGTAGAAAATTTCAGATGAACGTTTACCAAGCTCATAAATATGTTTCATCGGATTTAGAGAATAGTTTGTAGAGAACAGATATCTTTATCAAGTCTTTTCATATAGAAATATTCTGTCTATTCTTTCAGTTCTTAGTTTATATCTTTCAGCAATGTTTTACATATCTTCCTGTGCTTTTGTTGCTAGCATGTATTTTGTTACTATTGTGAATGGGGATTTTTTCCCCCATCACATTTTTGATATGCTTTTACTGGTTTGAGGGAAAATGAATTAGAGTGTTTACTGCTAGTTGCCTATCCAAGCCACGGTCTCCCCTTTTGTTGAGTGCCCAGCTAAAACACTGTATTATCCAATCCTCCTTCGCAGCTAGAGATAGTAGAAGTCACTGAATGGGGCTTCAAGGAAAACCTTAAGAGAACTGACTTAGTGGAAGGAGTGCCCTTTTGTTCTTCGCTCTGATCCTTTCTGCTTGGAACTAGGAAGTGAGTTGGAACAGGAACTGGCTGGAGTTCCTGCAGCATCTTTTGATATTGAAGAGGAAAGCAACATACTATGGAGATGGAGTAGAAAGAAGGTTCCTAAGTAACTGATGTTCTCTTTTAAATGAGACCATATAACTAATTTGTTTAAGTCACCAAGTACTGCATATAATTCCTGTTATAGTAATACTGAATTCTACTACCCTTACTGAAATCCTGTATTAGTTTTACAGTTTATTTTCTTGGCGATTTCTAGGCAGACAGTTATAAAATTCTTCTCTTTTTCGATGTATATTTCCAATTACCAAAATCCTGGCAAAAAAAAACAAAAAAATATAATACTGAATTCTACTACCCTTACTGAAATCCTGTATTAGTTTTACAGTTTATTTTCTTGGAGATTTCTAGGCAGACAGTTATAAAATTCTTCTCTTTTTCGATGTATATTTCCAATTACCAAAATCCTGGCAAAAAAAAACAAAAAAATAAAAAAAAACTTTCTTTTACCAGCATTCCTTGCCTATTCTAGCAGATTTTATAATGCTTTTTAGTATATCACTGCAACTTCAATATACTATATCTCCTGGACTAATATCTTTAAGTAGCTCTGTTAAAAGGTACACAGGAATTTGAGTCAAGCAGAAAGCCATTAGCACTCAGGTGCAGAATAAAATCATCTTAATCCCATTGCAAATAGAATAGAAACTTAAGGTCAATCAGGACATTTAAAATCTCTCAAAGAAAGTATACAATTGTTCATAATTATAAAACTACTTTTGAACTTTAACAGGTTAATGTATACCCCTAGGTGCAACCCAGGGTTCATCAAGTTATTGAAAATAATGTTGCTAATAATAACAACACCTAATATTTACTGAGTACTTTACATCTAAATCTCCTAACAACTTGGGGAATATTAATAAGGATGACCACTCAGTAGGTGAAAAAGTTTAGTAGGCATAGAGAAGTTAATAAATAACTTTTCTCAAGTCATATAACAAAGAACTGGTAGAGCTAGGGTTCAAACCCAGGTCAGATGATTCTGAAAATTAAGAACAGCAGCTAAATCATTCTTTTACTCATTTCTGTAACACCAAAGATGAGCAAAAAGTAATTTAAAGGTAGCATTTTAAGAAAAAAAGTATGTAAGTAAGCAAGGACCTTTTCAGTACACTTTCAGAACAGTACAGGGAAAGCTGAGGTAAAGAAATACAGGAGTATTGGGCTGAAAGCAACAAAATTATAAAGCACTAGAAGGGATCTGCGAGATAACCTATAAGTAGTCTTCAAATTTTTTTAGCCATAAAACTCTTAAAATTATATCTTACTTGAGAAGCCAAATATGTAAAGCAAATAAAATCAGATCCATACTACTAGACCAAACCCAGACACACCCCCAAACACTTGGGCTTTACAGGAAATAATTTAAAAGGACCTATTGAATCCAAAGCTGCTTTATAAACTTTTCTATAGGTGCAATTACAAAATCATACTGTTTCCACAGTGAATATGAGATACAGACATGAATCTATGAATCCTATAGTTTATAATCAAACCACTTTTTCTAAAATAGTCAGCCTTCCATATCTATGGGTTCTGCATCTGAAGATTCAACCGAGGATCAAAAATATTTGGGGGGGGGGGCAGGGGAAACCCCAGAATAAAAAATAATACAGGCTAGAAGGGGCAATAAAAGGTAGCCATAGATTAATAGGATATAGGGATGACTCCATCCTACCTCTCCCCCCTCAATCCATCAGCCAGCCTGGAATGGTCAGGCTCATGAAAAGCCAGTTATTTCCTGGGAGATTATTGGGGTTCCTTCAAAGAGATGGGGTAGGACCAGTGATGTATAATAAACTTCGGGAATTTGTGAGGAGGTGTCCTTTGGTACATAACAGCAAGTACTAAAGCAGCTTCAGCAGAAAA